AGAAATCAATACTGTTTCTTTCAGCTCTTCATAGGAGCTATATTCTATCCCAAGTCCCTTTAAAGATACTAATGCCAATAGTGTGACTACTTTTCTGCTTTGAACGTAAGAATTACATCTGTGTTGTGGACTAAGTGGAAAACACCTCCTGAGCACTCTTTCTTTCAGGTATATTTGAAAGAAATAGATGCAATCTGGCTGCAACCAATCAATCCTCAAAACTGCATATAAATAATACAATACTTTTCTGTGATACTAACAATATAGCCTTTACAGATTAATGTATTCATGTCTTCGCAAACAACTCTATTTATGGCTGACCCAATTACTTTAAGAGCTCATTAATCTGAGATCTATATTGTTAGATGGGGAAGTTTAGAGTTGTCTTTAGAATCAGCTACTCATCTCCATTATTTTGGACAAATAACAATCAGAGCTCCCAAGGATCAATATGCAACTGATACAGATTTACAATTAGATCATTGCTTCTATCAGTAGTGGAGATGGTGAATGTTAAGAGAGCATGGGAACTGAAAGCTCGAGAACATTTTCAGAGCCTACTGGTGGAGTCATCTCATTTTCTGAATTTCCCAGCCACAGAGATAAAGCTGCTGAAGTCACATTGCCAGATTTCCTGGCTGTAAGTCCCCTTTTCAAAAACTTTAGTAAATACAGATTAAAACAACAACAACAGCAACAAAACAAGCACTTGCCACACACGTAAACACAAAATATATGAGGAACTGCTGTGAAAGCAGTCAGGTTGAAAGCTTTCCTTTATGGTTGCTTCTTACTCTACGCTGGAGAAATGGTCACCTCAGCCAACAGAAGATGATTGTCTGCTGTTTTCTGTGCAGAATACTTATATTTTAGTTTTAAAAAAATAACAATAATATGAAAGTATTTTCTTTTGAATCTTCACAGTGAGGAATTGCAGTGAGTCAGATCTCACACAGAAGGCTCTGGAGTTTTTTTTGGTAAAGCCATAACCTGTCCTGTCAGACATCAGTAGCTTCATTTGACAGCCATAATGTTCCTACTTTGTCATGATTTGGGACAGCATTGCTCCAGTGGCTAGTAAACATGTCAATGAATTGTAACAGCAATTGAAAAGAACTGGATGTAGAGATGATTAAAACAGCAAGCTAAAAATATGAAAGAAATCTGTGTATATTTAACAATACCTTGTAAAAGCCAACATCACATAATGCTGAGCTGTCACAAGCTTCTTACAAGCAGTGACATTTTAAAAAAAGCCCTGTCCAACCCTATTCCTAATTACTCTGCAGAATGCTTGCTTTTCCCTTTGCCCTTTTCAATCAGACTGGCATTAATAAAATAGGGATAACAGTGAAAAATGTACAGTAGAAGAAGGAAGAAAGTTTGTAATCCCAGTTTCTAATGATTTCTCAATACAAGAAGGTCTCTGCATTATGAATGTTACATTATTTTTTAAAATTCTTGGATTTCTCATTGGCCACATTAGCAGTTCTCCCATAGGGATATTATGATCAATAGGGTTCTGAAGACAGTGAGTAAATGTGTCTTGTTGAACAGGATGACTTTCAGAGGCCCCTACCAATCTCAACCATTTGGTGTTTCTGTGATGTGTGGACTGTTGAAAAAGAGAATTTAATTAAACATATCCAACATTAATGACAAATAGAAAATTATTATTTTAGAATAAAATGTTCCCTTTCCATTTAAATTTCACAAATGGCAAAAATTTTGTAGTTTAAGTAACCTCCATATATGATGATCTTTCAAAGTGTAGAGTTCTTTGAGAAGATTGTGATATCTTGAAATGTTTCACTTTGAAGGAAAATTTGCCCTAGGATAAATCATGTCATTTGATATAATTATACAGAACCAGTGCTTACTGTTATTATCTGATTATTAACCTCCACATGAGCTATTTACATCTCAGTCTTGAGTAATCAGCTTAATGATTACCTGCCTGTTGTGGTAATAATTAAGTAGAAAAGCCAGCAACAAAATAATGAGATTTCTAATATTCTTTTTAGCTCAAATGTAACAAGCATGGAGTGTAATAGTGGGTCTTGAATATAATGTGATTGAGATTGATTTTTAAAATGTCTGATTTTCTTCACTTAGGTATTTGTTATCAAGGGGAGGGAAACTAAAAATTTTTAGGAGCAAAGTAAACTAAAAGGTCTCATTATAATGTGTAGGACTTGCATGCTTCACGTGGCATGCCAGAGCATGTGAAGATTACCAGCACTTGAGCTGTGCTCATGCCATTATTCACATGCATCTTAATGCCATAGGCTGTCCAGTAGGTCCTTGTTGGTGTGAAATGTCACCCCTCTTATTCAGTTGGTGGCACTGCAGCAATTTGCAACCAAATAACCGGTAGCAACAAAAAAAAATTTTGTAATCAATAAATTCAATCATCTCAGATTTTTTCAGCCACCTGAATTTGCGGGTGTACAGTGTTTATTCTGATGAGGATGATGCTTTCATTTAGAATCAGAATAATATTGTATAGGGATGATGCTGGTTGCAGAGTGGTCTCCAAAGTAACATGACAGAGTGTTGCTGGCTATGGGCATTGGAAACGAAATTCAGTAATGCTCTAAGAAATTTACTGCGGGCTACTAATACTGTAAATGTGCTAGTACAGCATATGGAGCTAATCTGAAAATACTGAAGCATGAGCTCATTTTCAGTTGAGTAGTCCTGTGGGACTACCATCTCAAATTCATCTGGAATCCTGCAGCTGGTATATGTTTTGGAAGATTACCTGTAAGTGTTGGTTTTGCCAGCCTATTAAACCATTGCTGTATTGCATTAATGGTCTGAAATTAATCCCAAATTACAGATTTTTCACTGTTATATTATATTCTGCTTTTTTGCTTGAATTCACATTTTGATGAGCATAGAAAACACAAAGAGTTGCTCTTATAATACTAGCATTCTGTTTTTCTTTGAGTTTCCTGCATTTTGTTTGTAGTTATCTACTATAAACTACTTTTCATCTAAAGGGAAGTCAATCTAAAGGATAAAAGAAAGACTTTTATCTCCATTTTGATAATGAGATACCCTAATCATGCAAATAGTTGGCACTATTTGCTTACTTTTTTTAAGAAGTAATTTTGTATATGCCTTCCTTCCTCGCTTCTTCCCTTCCTTCCTTCCTTTCCATCTTTCTGTCTTTCTTTCCTGGGAAAACTAGCTTCATCTGAGTCAGTTTTTAACTAATACCTCACGTTTTCCTTTAATGCTTCAAACATATTTACATTGCTTAATTGTATTTCTGTTTAAAATCTTCCATTGCTTTTAATGAGTTCAGTCTTACAGATTATGGTACAGTCATGTTAGTTATTGACAAAATATTCTATGTGCAGGCAAAAAAAGTATATGCTAAATATTAATAAATTATGACATAATCTTTAAAAATCAAAATCTTTGTTGCATTAGAACATCTTCCTGAAGGAAAAGGACAGAAAAACTAAGCTATCCATGGATTAATAACATGAAGGCTTTAGTATTCTTACTTGATTTTGGTTGTGACCCCTTTGAAACGTTGATTGCTTCTGATCATTTTCCAGCTCTGCTCTGAGCCATCTCTTTCATCAGTGCTCTGAATGCTGGATGGAACACTCAGCAAGTCCAATACAAGTTCTCCCCTGAAGGTTTTCTCATCTGGTTTTGTTCTGTTTTTGTGTAATTTCATTTGAGTATTAAATGTTCATGTGTTTTATTTTTATGCAGATGGGCATTTGGGGATGTTTTGGTTTTCTAGTGGTGAATAGTATTGAAAGCCTCAGCTCTGCAGTAATAGCATAAGCAGTTTGTGATAATTTCAGCATGGCTAGTGAGGCCTATCCAGAAGTTATTGTATGACTGAGGCCAAAAGGAGGAACAGAAGTTATTTGATGTATGCATTAAGGAATATGCACCACCAGCTCTATTATAAAGTCCTTTGATCTAACTTTACAAGTATGAGTAATTCACTGATGATAACAGACCCACTTGTGTCTACTCCAGACTAAATGTTTGTTTTTTCTGGAATGAAAGTTTATGTCTATGTCCTCAGTCACATTGAGGTTCCTTGGAAGAACATTGTAGCACGCCCTTCATCTGTCAGAACAGCAATCCTTGCGTAAATACTTTATTAGAAGAGCTATGTCTTTGAACAGAAGGGAATTGCATCTTCTCCTTTTCATGGATGCATGTTTTACAACCATGATTAAACCCTCTGTTAGTGTTTTTTAAGCAAAGCAGATATAGTTTTCCTCAATGAAGAAAAAATATGGGGCTCTAAGAATGAGTTTAAAGGATATCATTGTCTGTGATGTGTGAAATCGTGGAGAAGAGAGAGTAGGCAAAGATGGGAGTAACAGTTTTTATTTCTTAACCCTATTTTTTTAAAAACTTGTAGTTAAAGATGGAAATGTTTACAGACAAGATTATACTCCACCAAAGCCTCAGTAGATTGAAATGAAGGTGTGCTAATATCTAAGATTATTTTTGAATACTTTTTTTTTTTTTTTTTTTTTAAGTAATACTCTGTCAGCTAAATATAGTTCAGATTTTTACATTTTTATAGACCGTGTGAGTTCCCTGCAGGCACACTGTCTCTGCAATGATTTATATAGTTAGAATTATAGGGGATGATAAGCATTTGCTGTTCAATAGTGTAGTTAATGCTCAGCCCCTCGGGTAACAGAGCAGTGAAGCATTTACTACTCAGTGGTAGTTCTGCAACAATCAGCAGCAGTGTGACTCTATCACAGTAAATTTACATCGATACACTTCATCCTCAGGGAATTGAGCATTCACTCAGCATAGCCTAGGGAAAACAACTAGAATGGACCTTTTCCAGTTCTTTTGGGTGGCACAGCGGGAAAAGTTTATTAGTGTAGCTGAATCAGAAACAGAAATCACAGATGGTATGACATGAAAATTATTTAACTTGTATTTTCTCTCCTTTTTTTTTTTTCTTTTTTTTTTTTTCCTTTTTTTTCTCCAGAAAGTACAAAAATAAAAATTTGAACTGGAAAGAGATTGGAAAGGTGAAAGTTGCGAAGATGCCGTAGTGGCAAACCCACTACAGTTCTGATGCAGATGCCAAAGGCTCTGTGCCCTTCAATCCCATTATTAGCAGGAACCTCCTTTTTCAGGTACCTGTGTATTTTCTGTGTATAGGTGAGCTTACTGATGCTGTAGCTATATAACACTACTGTTGACTATGATTAGAAAATAGCAAAAGTTGCGTGAGTCAAACAATAACAGCTCTTCTCTTGCAGTTTATTTTTCTTCAGTAGACATGAAAGCATTTTATAAATGAATACAGTACCATCTACATATAAAAATTTGGGAAACTCGAAGCAGAAGGAGGCTCCAGGAGTTGGCCACAGTCCTTCAGCAAGACTGTGACAGAGTAAAAATACAGGGGAGGTTCCCAGGGTGTCTTAAAGCTTAATGCTTTAATTAATGCTTTAATTAAAGCTTAATGCTTTAACCACTGCAGTCAGCACTGCCCTCTCTCTCTATAACACACCTGGAAGCCTCCAGCTGCTGTATAGCCTGCAGCATGAGTAAGGACTGACAAAGTACGTTTTTGCTCCTGTAGGATATGAAAGAAGAGGCAGAGGAACCTACAGAAGGCAAGCTTTAGCCTAGAACATGCATTGGGAAAGTGAGAAGCAAGATTTCTCTAAGTACTCCGTCCCCATGGATGCCTCTGTGATTGAAAGAAGACTTCAGTGAACTGAGGAGGCATGACTCTTCAGTGACAGAATCTATAGGTAATGAATGTTAAATCTATGCTGTGTTTTTAAGCCTGACTGATCATACAGTAGAGAGCCAGCAAGTACATCTGTAGGCGCAGCTTAGTGCAGTCTCAGGACAGGCAGATCTCTGTATCTGTACATTTGGAAGTATATGACAGCACAAAAGTGCCTGACAGGCTGTCTGTGAGGCTTCAAGCTGAGGGCAAGGCAGGTTTCCCAAAGATGCCTGCAGTATGCCTTGTGCTCGCCTGCGTGCTGCAGTGTTGAAATAGCATAGGGTCATGCAAAGAGCATTGATAATGGCAGTGACTGAGGGGAAAAAAAAAAAAAAAGACACGATTTGTGTTGGAGTTGGACAGAGCTGATGACATGTTCTGGCAGTGATGAGAATATAACACTATCCTGTGGTTATGAGCAATTAAAAAGTAGCTTGATGCCATTGAGTGAGTTTGGGATTCAGCACACACAAAAAAAGAAGTAATAGCTGTAAAGCTTTTAAAGAGGAAGAATACAGTGAGTAATTAAAAAAAAAAAAAAAAAAAGAGGCAGAATAATATTCTCAGCAGCTTTATGGTACAGGTAACTGACCCATTCCTTTACCTGAAGCTAAAAAATGAGCCTCGTGGAGAGAGTGGTTGTAATACCTGAATAAGTTCAGTACTGATATCAGAAGGAAATGGAGATTAATGAAGGATTCGTTACGTCAGGATTCAGAATCTCATCTCAGAAAGTAGGAGAGGAGCAGCTGTGGAAAGAAGATACAGTATTAACATTGTAAGTCTCAGTGCAGACATATGCAGTACAAAGAAATCTGTATGGCCTGTATGGCTTTATCTCTGATAAAGCATTTACGTCTGCTGTTACCTCAATCCTCTTTCCTGCATCACAGTATGCCTAAGGCAATAGGAGTGCACTGAGGCATAATGTGGAGTTACACAATGCAAATAAAGGCAAGGATGTCAAACAGAATATATATTAGAAGTGATAGTGTGTGTGATTGAAAGAGTGGATGTTTCCAACTGAAGGGAAATAATATTTCTTTAAGCTCTATGAAACTAGAGAAGAAATCAGTGATTCAGTCAGAGGAGCACTGTAGCAGATTGCTTTTATAAGCTCTTTCCAGAGCAGAATCACATATGGAAACAATTGCGGGTAACATGCAGTAAAATACATTCTGCGGAATAATCCCATGCTAGCAGAGATTGAACTAGACAGTTTAATAAGCCTTCCATCCTTAATTTCTTTCTGCCTATGATTCTTTCAGATGAAACCATTTAATTTTATGTCTTCTATAGCTTTAGAAATATCCAACACCTTCTGATTTACAGCTTGACTTGTGTATAACAAAGTCCAGGTTGCTTGGGAAAGAAAAACACCCTAATCATAACAACATATTTCAGATACAATCAACTTCAGACCCTCATTTATATTTATTTATTTGTTTGTTTACTGTATCTGTGGAATGAAATATACTGCTTGGAAATACTGTAGTGGCCAGCCTCCCTTAGAACTTTATTAAATCCTCGTATTGAGAAGGTGAAGAGAAGTAAAAATGATGTAAAAATATGATGGGAAATATAAGATACACAGAAATTGTACAAAAAACGTTTGGGTGAAACCAACCTCATCTTTTAACTGTGTTATTAAGGGATGGTATCATAGCATCAAATGGGCTGTACATTTTGGGTGGCTACCAAAGATTGGAGATGCTTCAGATGCCTTCAATGGACAATATGTAACTTTTGTAGGTTTGCAATATTTCACATGATGTGGATCCAGAGAAAACAGTCAATTTCTTTGGAGCACCTCTGAATTTCTCATCTGCATTGGGAATCATTGGCAAGCTAAATCTCTGATACCTGAAGCCCCAGACTAGCACTAGCTGGAAAAGAGATAAGTGTTTGGTCTCATCCCATATCTAATGTCTAGTAGACATCTAAATCTTAAACAAGAAGAATCACCTTCTGAAAATATTGCTTTGTTAACTATTCTAGTCTTTGAAAATGGAGACACATGTGCACTTCTGTAGGCTATTTCATACCTTTGTCTCTCATAAGAGGAATGTCTTCAGATGACCAAAAGTAAATCTTATCCTTCACTTTCAAATAGGTGAAGTCTGATGGGATGAATTTCAACCCACAACTGAAATACTTCCAAATTTTTCCTGAAAAAAGAACAGAGTAATTTAAGAAATGGTTAGGAAGTCTGAAGTCCGTGATAAAATCATCTTGGGCTTCAAGGCTTCAATAGCTAGCATTCTTGCCAGTCCAAATATGAGGAAAAATATAAAGCTAAATATTTATAATATTTATAAAAATCTTTCAAAAATACTCACATACAGGAGTACTGTTTGGGGAAGATACCTTATCAACAAGATAAGACTATTGACTGTTTAAGAGTAGCACAATAAAAGCAATTCATGTGAAATATTAATAGGGGAACTAATTAGAGATGAGATGGAGTGAGCTGTAATTATACCGATGTCAAACCTAAAACAGGAAGAAAAATGTCCCTTCCCCCCAACTAAGAAAAGTACTTGTGTTCAGCAGCATGCTGAAAGCTATACTTATCAAATGAAAGCATTAATAAGCAAAGAAATAATCTATCTATTTAAAAATGAGTACTCAGAATTTTTAGAAAGATATAAGGGGGAAGGGGAGGGAAGGAGGAAGAAAAAGCAAACAATAGGTTGGCTTTGATTCTGAAAATTACGCAACTTTCTCTTTTTAGTAGAATATAAAACAGTGTATGGACTGATAATGCATAATTGAATATAAATCAATTTTCATTCCAGATTCAATACCAAAATTTGCTTGGATATCTGAGAGGTTCTTTGTGAGACATGATTTTATCAATTGCAGATGTACCAGTAAGTTAGTTTCACTCTGAATGTCTAAAACCAGGCAAAGTAGTGTTGATTCTTCATGAAGTAAATATGCAAAAGGTAAATGACTGGACATATGATAGTGTGATTTCATCTATCTTTAAAAGTTTGCTAGATCTTATTTAGTAACCCACTTGAACCTGAATTGGAATAGTGAAATGTGTCTACGTAGGCCTGTCCAAAAGTAATATACCTATTTATTTCCATTGAAACTACAATAGAGACAAAGAGCACTACAACACTATTTGATAGAGGAAATTCTCAGCTACTGAACAAAATTTTTCAGTGCCTTCACCATCATTAGCCAATCCATGTGAAGGAACTGATTGAAACACTTCATTTCTTGGTGTGACAGCTGTGTATGGCTGTCTGGATCACGGCTTTTATTTCATGCCACTGTCATCACTACTGAAATGCACCCCCTTACTGTGCTGACATCAACCATTTGGTCTCAATAATTGTTCACCAAGCACTGATGAATGTCAATGGGTGCTTTTTTTTCCACACAGAGGGATTCAGAGAGACACCTTTGCTTCATAAACACTTCAATGTCAGATACCATTTTGTCAGACTACCACTCTGCTGCTGTCTGTCACACAGAAATAACATGTGTTGGAATACTGGGGGAAAAGAACAATTTCTACTGCCATCCCAGCAGAATCTGCCCCTGATGTCATGGGCCAACATAATAAAATAGGAGGCATTACTTTCGGAGCAGCCCTTGTATTATAGGCATAATCCTATGAACTACAGAACACTCAAGCTCTGTTCTGAGTAAGCAGCAAACAGTTTATTTTAAGACTGGATTTAAATCTTCAGTATTTGTAAGCATCATCCCTGTGGGGGCTGACAGCAGTGACTGCCCGAATTCACATCCAAGGGTATGCGTGCAGTGTGGGAAGTCCTTATTCAGTGTCCTGTGGGTTTGGATCCATTTGAATGGAATTTCAAACAGTGCATAGTCAAGAAGGAAAGCCAGCTTATCCAGCCACTTAGCAGCATTGATTGAAATCTTGGTGTAGGCACTATTTGAACTGAGATTTGCCAAATATAGATAGTATGTCAACTACTAATGCCAGAAATGTGTTTACAATAACACAGTGATACAATAAAAACCAAGAATAGAAGTTTTTACCTTAAGATTAATTTGAAAAGACTTTTAGAACTGTGTTTATTGCTGAACATATCCTAGGGATACATAACCCTTAACCTCAGTCCTACTAGACAAGGCACACGCTAACAAGCTGGAGGAACTCCACCTGGCCTCAGCATTAGGAACTTCATGGGAAAATAAATGTGGGATGATGTTACTTTTGTTTGATGTTCCAATGTGAAACACTCAGAGGCGGCATGCTCAAGCAGCTGAATTAGCAGTGGAAAAACTCAGTAATATGCTTGCATTTACACTCAGCTGTTTGAGTATGCTATTATTACATGGTGTACAATAAGATCCAGCTGTCCTCAGTGCCTGAATGTGACCCAATCATAAATTATTGTATAAATGGCTTGGATAAGGATCCTATAATATTTATTGGAAGAATACCACATTGGAATTGTGATGTTCATGCTACATATGATTTCATCTTCATGTATGGTACAGATGGTTGGTAATTTGTACTTCCTTTTTCCAGAATAGCAGATCAGAATTTGTGGCTGGGTCCCAGAATGAAGTTACAACTTCAGTGGTAAGGTAACAAATGAAAAAGACGATATATTTGTACTTGAAAATTATGTCTTTACCTTCATCACAGTACTGTGGTCCACCCATACTGCAGACTTGACTCTCCAGAGGTCCCTTCCAGCTGCTACAATTCTCTGATTCTGCATGAATGAAATCATTGCATTCCAGAGAAAGTGAACTGACAAAAAGGTAAGTATCATGGTTGGTTTCTTTTTCTCACTTCTGATGTGTTTGTACTGAGTTTTCTTTGTGATATCTGAAAATAGCTGAGATATGTGTGGTTTGGATGTTCTGTAAAGATTGGTTTTATCTTTCAGTCCTCTTAAATACACTAGTAATGTAAAACAAACAACTCAAAACAGATTTTCCAAAATAAAAAGCAGTACCCTGTGTTTCTTTTGAATTCAGTAATTTACTGCAACCCAAATCAAGTTCAGCAAGTTCTCTAAACCTGATAGAGACTGTTCTCTCTATAATGGTAATTAAGTTTGGACCTTGCAAAAATTCATATTCATAAATGAGACAGAATTATCTGGCTTCTCCTAACACCCTATGTTATTGTGCTGGAAACCATCTATTTCCAGTGCAGCAGTATATTTTACCTGTAGCTTACCAACCCTACATACTGTCTGCATCTGATATATACACTTCCATATTTAATGTTACAAATTTTCCTGTGGGAGTAAGATTGATTTAAGGTATATCTGCATCCAGAAAATGTAGGGGGTCATTGACCAGACTAATTTTCAAAGTGTTGCTACAATCAGACACGTGTTAAAAGGTTATTTTACTTACTGAAAAATTATGACTCCCCTGTTTTGAGACTTTTTTTTTTTTGAGAAGTAAAAAGCATCTCTCTTAATGCAAGAATGGATGTTCTCAATAGTAGTGCAGTTAAACCTTGGATTGTGATTAATCTTAATACTGAAAAGAATTTAGAATTATAAGCTTCACTATCGTGTTCAGGATGTAAGTAGAAGCAATCAGTGTGATTGCTTAAAATAGCCCGGTTTCCATTTTCCAATGGGAGTAGCATTCAAAATTCATCAATAGTGTGGGCATGTGTTACTCAGCCAAGTAATCACCATAGTCTTTTTAGGCAGTTAAAATTAAATTTCAACATGCTGTATTAAATTCTCACTAACAGAGTGTTGGACAGGCTTCTTATACAAGGAATGTAAAACGTGTTAATGAATAAATCCAAATGCAAACTCGTTATCTTAAGATGACATAGCAGAAGCATGAAAACAGTTAAGTTTTTTCCCTTAGGATGACAACTGCTCAATTATAAGCAGAGCACTGGAAGATATGCTTAGGAGGCAGATCTTTCAGATGAGCTAATTAAGAATGTTCTAGCATTTTTTGTGTTTGTATGCCCCAGTGAACAACACTATTGAGGCAGAGGAAACTAGGCAATTGTTAAGTACCATTCACAGATTGTTCAGGTGGTTAAGTTCGGTTCCAGGACAATGTTTCAAACTCAGCATAGAAGCATTTAAATCAGCATAATTTTAGAAGATAAAATAAAAAAAGCAAAAATCTCTTGAAGGCAAGTCGTACCACCTAAAGGAGAAATGCAGCTATCCTCTTTAAATTGAATGTACTCATTTAGAAAAAATTAGATTCAGTTAAATGTTTAAAGTAAGATTTAGAAACCAGAATGTTCAGAATACTTTGGTTTGCAATTCAAGAATAAGATTTTGTCTTTTTTTTTTGTCTATGCTACATTTACACTTGAAGCGTTGAGTCTTTCATATTAAATACCCATGTACTCATCAAAGCAAATCCCACTGCTTATGTTAGTCCATTATTTTCTCTCAATATTTTGCTGCCTGACAAGAACTGATTGATATCGTTAGAATGACCTAAAGCAGTAATCTCAGATGATGTATTCATCTGTTCAGGAGCTGAAAACACACCAATACAAACATTTTGTTTTGATAATAACTCTTTTTATTCTATCTTACGAGCAGTAATATTAACAATCATGTAACAGAGCTGCAGATCTATAGCGTTCAGTATACAAAATTTCACAGCTACCTTTTCCTTTGTCATATGAAAACTCAAACTTGCAGGGTAAATGTCTCTTTACTCTCTCTATGTATAGGGTAAGAAGGACGTATCTGCAATTAGATGGAAAACTGTCCAGAATATAGTGTATATATATGCATGCATATATGCATGTCATGTGCTGTACAGAGATAGAAATAAAAGCAATTGATCATTCCAGGAAACGTGTCAAAAAAAACATACAGGAAATTATACCATATATATGTGTTTTTTTTACTTTTGTTTAATATAGCAAAGTTAATTTATTCAGTCTTGTTTTTATTATCAAGATGCACATCAGTCAGACGTGCCATTAAAATTTAGTGGTTTTCAGAATGGAAAGAAGAATGAAGTCCCATTATTTGCCAGTAGTCACAGATCTACTTTGCTCATAGTATTTCTAAGCATGTACTTTTTATTGGCAAAGAAAGCATTTTGATTGGCTTGAAAGCTTAATATGCTCCCATGAACTTTTTATGACTTAATCATTAGAAATAAACTGCTTCATGATCTCTGTTACTTGATGCAAGTCTATTGTTTTTTTTACAGTTCACCCTTTTTCCAGGAAATTGAAATGTTTCACTGGCAAACCAGCAAAAATACTTTTGCAGTCATTTAGTAGCTGCAGAAAATAGCTTATCTGAATCAAGCTCTTGAAATTTAAACAATTAAATTTGGCAGTTTTCTGTTCTGAGACAAGCAGTTAACTAGTGTTGATGCTAATGAGACTCATTTCTTGTCCCTCAGTACATGGGTGAGTATTTGTCCCTGCAATATAAATTCCTCTAGTAGCTTTTGAAACCACTGAGTAGTTAGCTTAAAAAGAACATCTCACATATATTCATGCAAGTAATCAGTAAACTTTATGAAAAAAGCCATTTAGAAGACAGAGAATTAGTGTTCCTTCTCTAGAGGAAAAAAAATAATAATAATAATTGGACTGCTTTTATTAGTAGGTACCAGAGTCTCTTTTGAAGGGAGATGATTCAAGCATGATGGCAGAGGGAAGGCTCAGTCAAACCTTGGACCACTGTGGAACCAGGCCAAAGATCCAAACTGGAGAGTGCCAGGTCTGCCAATATGACCACAATTCTTATTGCAGTTAACAAGGATATTTTCCAGGGGGTTGCTTGGATCCTGGCAGAATTCCATGGACACCCCTGAAGAGCTAAAGTTTCCCATTCCTACCTTGTAAAAATGGAGAATTTCTCTACTAAGATACTCTTTTGTTTTCCTGTGAATCATAAGCCTAATGAAACAATGTTAGCAGATGAAATGGAAATTGTAGTGCAATTAAAATCTTAATAATGGAGCAATCGTGGGATTATGTAGGAAATCACCCAGGATCATGAAAAGAGAATAAAAGCTATTATAATGGCAAATTGCATGGATGTATGAGAGGCAATACTTCAATTCCTGATTTTACATTGAACTCCAGTTTGATGTCAGAAATTAATTCCTACTTTTCCAACTTCAACCCAAGTCCTTGTTTGGTAAATGTGAACTATGTGTAAGTATGGGAAAAATGCCACAGATTTGTTAAGTCTTGACATCAAATTTAAAGGAAGTGATTTGCTTATCTGCAATACCTATCACATTTTGACTTCATTGTTTCTGATGATGAAAAGTGGCAAAGGAAATTTGGTAGTCAAAATGCCAGGTGAGTCCAAAATAATGGAAATAAATTAATTTTATAAAATGGAAGAATTTTTTCTCAACTGTGGATCTTTGGATCTTTGTACTCTGTGGCAGAATCCTGTTAAAAATCTGAGGAAAAAGGTTCCTGAAAATGGGGAAGGTCTTCTATCAGTTATTTGCACCCATCGTTAACCAAGATTAGGCTCCTGTGGAAGTGTACCATGTGCAGGTTTGATTTCCTTTTAAAATTACAACCCTTTTGCCCTTTGTTTCTCTGCTCGTGGTTCATCTGAAGATACAAAGTCTTTTACAGAAGGCAGGTAATGAGATCACAAAATAGGAGAAAATAGACCATAAAGGAGATATACTGTAATATTGCAGCAAATGAGTATCTTCTTCCTAAAGATTTTATATGGCAGCTAGAGCTGCTAACATTATTCATGTATAAAGAAGATGTAGAAGTTTCCCAGAGCATCTTTAAGAGCATAGGCCATGTACTCTTCCAATAGCAAAAGTGCTACTGCCCTGTAAGAGAACACCATAACAAACATTTTTCTCTTTCAGTGTAAATACTGGGGATGGTTGGAGAAAGGTACCCAACAGTGCATAGCAAATAGTGACTCAAAATGGATGTTCCAATAGTGTATTTCCAAAAGATATTTCCAATTTTGAAAAGCAAAAATCTGAAGTAGAGGTGATTTGGATATGGATAAATATTTAAGTAGTAAATAGTTGTAGAAAGGAATATTGTGTTAAGAAAATTTTACTGAAGACCTCTATGGATAAAGCCTAGTGAAAGCTAGAATGCCATAAGTTATTCAATTTGTTTGTGAAGTGTTGTCAGTTGCTGAATGAAAAAGACGTTTAGGGCTTAGTCATAGTGATTCTTTTCCTTCTTGAAGTTAAGTAAAAGATAGGAAAGTTGTATTTAGCAAAACAGTTATTGAGATCAAAATGATTTCTGCGTATTTAGATTTTACTTTAAAAGGTAAGTACTGTGAAATGACCACATTTTTTCAATAAACATTATTCTGTTCTTATCTGTGACGTTTAATTAATTCATGACCAGTTTGTACACTCTTGCCATCTTATGTAAACTAGTGTAAAATTGAATGAAAACATCCAGCTAAAAGCTTAGAACCTTCAGGAACATACGAAGTTTTACTCTGAATGATTATGCTTGTGCCTGTCAGTTCTAAGGTATGTTAGATTAGGTTTGTTTCTTGTTCTGACAGTATAGCATTTTTAAGTGCTCAAAATGCGTAAAACAATGCACAGTGCAAGCAGTACCAACAACCTTGGCCCTTTAAAGCAGTTATGTTTTCATTAGTGAAAAAATATGGTCATTAGAAGATGTGCTACTAAATATTGGCTTAGGTCTGCTGTGAGATTGGAGAATAGCAGTTTTGTTGTTCCACTGCAGATTCCTTGACTTGACTTGTCCATTAGCTGTTTGATGTTATGGTTATTTGAATTTCATTTCAGAAGCAGCACAATAATTTTTCCATTGGGTCTTTTATCATGATAAGTTTTTCCAGGTTGGAAAATTCACAGCGATAGCAGTCCCTACTTTTTGGATTACTGTTTTTTCCTAAGCAAGTGATCTGATAATCTCTCTTTCCTCCAGCCAGGATGATTTGTGCTACTGTGTAATGAGAGAAATCCTGCATCTTTGGCTATTCATGGGTCTGAAATACAGCCTGCTGCAGCTGATAAGGTATAATGGGTTTCAGTGAGCTTCAGCACCTCTGAACTGAACACAGCAGAGATCCAACATGACTGAAGTTTCCAAGTCCAACTGTAAGGTAAACCACTGTATAAGTAATTCTGTGTGTCTGTGTTATGTTGTTAGTTACAATGCCACGATGCTCCTTTTTTTATATCTGAGGGTTCCTTCCATTCTCTAACATATGAAAAGAGTCTCACTGGATAATTTAATCAGGTAGAGTTAGAGTAGAAAACAAAAATTCATATAAAAAAAGTCTGAAATCAACTGAGATAATGTGAAAAAATCCACACGAAAGGGTAGAATTTGCTTATCAAAATCCTTTACAAGGACTATATAGTTTTATTTTACGTATCTTTTTACATATATATATTTTTACATATATATTTTACATATATATACATGTAGCAGAAAAAGGACTCATATATGTAGCAGAAAGAGAAGGAAATAGCTCCAGTCTTTTAAACATCCTGTGACTTCTAACTAGAGGAAAGAAATACGTGTTTGTTTTTATGATTTTGTTTTTCCAAAAGTTAAGGGAGAGAAAATTTTATATGGATAAAACAGCTAGACATAAATAAAAAAAAAAAAGATCCTGTTTTAGTAAGGAGTCCTATTCTGTAATCTATGCATAGGAAAATGGTTCATGTCATTTTTCATTGGAAACTAAGTACAGTTTTGAAGTAGGTTCAAGAGATATTCCATGGTCTAGATTATTAAATGTTAGAAGATGTAATCAATTAATTCAGCTACCCGCATGCATGGTAGAATAGGAAATGTTTGTTTAGATTCCAATTTATAGTTGTTTGTTTTATTATTTTACCCTCAGGAGGAAGCTTAAATGCTTAATTCTGCTGCTTTCCTAGTATTATACAAAGCACACAATAAAGCATAAGGCAACTTTGCCTGGTTTATAGTAGAACTTTTAATTAAACGTTTTTTCTTTGCAAACTGAATTTAAAAACAAAAATCAGCAGTAGGAGGCTTTAACTGCACAATGTCTCTTTTGAGTTACAGGCAAAAGCTTTAATTGGCTTTTATTGCAGGAGGATTCTATTGTAACCTCAGAGCCAGTGTTTGTAACCAGTATCAAAAGGGGTCCTTAGCACCACCAGGAGACTCATGACAGCTAACACACAAGCACGGTGGAGTGGAGAAATATGCAAAGAACTTCTTGGAAACAATGTGATTAGGTGTGATTGTTCTCCGAGATCTAATGCATGTTTATAACTTCAGCATTTATGTATAGCTTCTGTCTGAAGGCTAAGTATGCACCTTAGGTGGAGTGATGCCCTGTGCATCCAGCGCCATTATAAAGAATGCTGCCTCTTCATGCTACCCTGGTCACTGGTGTAAAGAGATTGTTTTTTTCCTATTTTTTTTTTTTTTTTCTGTGACAATATCTTTTTATCATTTATATCTAAGGTCTAACTTAATTTGTTGAGAATTTCTACTTTGTTGTCTTGTCACTTAAGCCTTTCCCAAATACTAACAAATTATCTCAGCAGAATTGTTGTCAGGGGAAATAATTTATTTGCACTTTATGGTTTGGAACAAGGCACATCAGAAGCAGTAAATACCTTTGTGGATCTGGTGTTGTGTTCAGTGTTCTGTGAAGTGCCACCTCTGGTACCCAGACAGTTGCCTATGCCACGCAACTGCTGTTCTTGTGTTAATGGCTTTTGTGCTATTGGGATGTTACATTAGTAATCAGGCAGAAGGAATACAATTCAGTGAAAATTCAAACTTAATGGACTGAATTGTGCTTGGACTGCCTTAGTTAGTGTGTTGCAGTGTCTGCAGTCAGAATTACATTTGATTGTGTGAAAAGTGCATGAAAATTCAGCTTTGGCTAAATTTTGAAGCTACCTGTCCATTGTTTGGTCAAACAACTATATATATAGTATATGTAGAGAATATAGACACAAGATGAAAGTCTTTCCCCTTACTTAACTTGGAAGTCCTAGATATATCTGTGCTTTATTAAAAACGTAGCTGTAAAGATTTTGACTAGGGTGAAATAATACAGGCAAATAAAGCAAGAGCCAGAGACAATAATTTAGAAGCAGGGTACTCTGTCATGGGTGTTCTAGGAGCTGAACCAGGAAATATAGCCTTATTCCCCAGAAACATGAGCCTAATTCTTACCACATTCCTAACCTAATTGTGCACACTGACCGGTTCAGCTGTGTTTCAGACAGACAGCTAAATGTCTAGGCATGGCTGTGGTTTTCTTTGTTTTATTCTATCTGATGTGAGCTCAGTGCTTGATAGTGGACTTCTGGGTATGAACCTCATCTTCCAGTTTTTGCAATATCTGGATTTTCAAAAGATTTCTTCTGGGTCATGAACACTATATTTCTACCATCCTTTAATATAAAAATGTTTGCATCCTTATTTCTTGATGAATTACTCACTTGTTAAAAAAAGATAGAAGAAAAAAAAAAAAAAAAAAAAAAAGAATGAAATGTGTTAGAGATTTCAGCACAAAAGCAATAACCTGGATCCCTCTAGAGGCCATTTGTGTAATATTTGGTAGGGAAAAAGAATTAAACATGTCTCTCAATTCTCTGTCCGCAGATAAAGGAAGCTTATCTATCTCCTATTACTGCATATTATCTTGCCAGCAGGTTTCTGTTGGGTGGTGAAAGCTGTGTAATTATTGTACTTGTGCTTTCTTAAACCAGCTCGTACCTTTTGCTGGGTAATACAGCAGTTTCATGGTACGTTAATTCAGAGTCTTAATTCCCCTATGCACGTTTCCTCAAAGATTGTTTTTTATAAAAATGAGTGTTTTATGCTAAGCACTAATCAGTGCACCAGAAGGAGAGGTTTCCATTTGCAGTAGCATTGTCAAGGAACTAATTAAACCGGACAAAGGGATAGCATTGCTTTCCCATGTGGCCTTTGTGGGCTTGATTCTGATCTCAGGTATACTGACATTACTCCTGAGTGTTTGAAAAGTCAAATGACTGTAAAAGACACGACGGGCTGTCATGGTGAGGAGAACCTGCACACAGTTAGCTGAGGTGCGAGTAGTCTGAGCAGAGAGGAACAGTCCAGCACAGCAGGGGGATGAACTGAACTTTCTAAACTCTTCTGGGTTAAAAGCAGTCAGAGCACGATTAAAGGAGAGCACCTCATTGATGGTGAAACCCACACCACTGAACACTGTCTGTGAAAAAGTTTCCACATCAGATGCTTTCTGGGCCTGAGAGCGCTGTTACTGCAGTGGCTCATTCAGGACAGTCTGCTTATGGAGCTGTGTGCATTAACTTAAGCAACAGAGATAACCCCCATTTATCAGCAGTTCCTGTGAAACAGCAGGCTGTAAATACAGGGGATGAAGTGCTGGCAATGTTCCATAATCTGTCCTGGATTGATTGAAAAGCTTTGCTACAAAAGCATCAAGCCAATTGAGACAGCTAATCAGAAAAATCAGTGTTTTTATAATGATCAAAATTAATTGAGCAAACTTTGTTGCTAGTAATGTTTGCACTTCGTGTAATTTGAGTTGATGGTAGATAGGTAGTTAATGTCCTCTAAAATATTTTTTAATTCAACTTTGATACTTGTGCTGTTTCTCATAAAAGTTTATCATTCCTTTCTCCTTTCTATCAGTGTTATCACTATTATTCCACCAGATCATGTTAGGTATTAGAAAGTCAATTTTAATTTTTAATGAAATTAATGCCCAGAATGCTATACTTTTATACTTCTGGCACAAAGCAAAATTGTTTTTGATCATTCATTGCATGCAAAATATCCCATGGAATGCCATGAAATGTAATTTCATCCAGATGAGTGAGCACTGATGAGGTGCTTCTGAAGAAGTGTTGGGTAAAATCACCATCCATGTTCAACTTTGCGGCAAAGGTGACAAGTATAATGTTATGATGAAAGATAAAGATGTGGGAGAATACTCATAAAGGCAATTTACAAAACATTTTACGAAAAAGCAGCATGTTTTTATGCAGCATTACATTATCTGGGAAAAAAATCTTGCATTCATCATGCACTACAACATGCAAAAAAACATAGATTATGCATAATCTAGCTTGGTATCTGCACTGAGCCAGAAACTATTGATGGTAGGGAAGAGGTTTCAGTGGGCTTTGCATCATTCTTCACTCTGCTTTACCACTTAGCTAAAGTGCCACTTCAGATTTTTTGTTGTATACTTCTTCGAGGTAGAAGTTTCATTTCAAACCAGGAAATATATCTGAAAGGAGGTAAGTTATCACTACATATTTTTAAGCAATGTAATTCTTTTGTTCTGGCTTGATTGACCAGGTAATTGACTTATCGTTGCTTACTTTTGGCTCCTTAATTAAGTAGGAAGCAATAACTCATCTGCCAGTAAGTGGAGCTCTTTGCTAGTCCAGGGCGGTCTTCACCAAGAACATTTTTTCTCCTTTTCCTTTTTTGTTCTACAAACTGTAAAGTTGGTATTTAGTTTTTCTTCAGTCCTTTTGCAACTTCCACATTATGTTCTACTTCTGTTCTTTGTAAATCAAGCAGATTATAAATTAGTTTATTCCCATTTACATTTTTTTCCTTTTCTCTTTGTCAGCCAAATGTTGTATTCATTCACCCATCCCTTAAAATAAAGGGGAGCTGTTAATACTTTAATTTAATTTTTTTATTTTTTTAAGTATTGGTATTTTTAATAAAAATTGTGCGGATTGCTATACCAGGGATTTGGGGAAGATGGAACGGTTTCCCGTGCTTTTCAGACTGTGGACTCATTACCTACCAATGAACATTTGTAGTAACGATTCCTTAGAGTGAAGCATGTCAACCCATTTGTACCATGATCTACTTTCTGGTGTTATAAAAGAATTACTGTGTGATATGGTAAAGGGTCCATTTCCATGAGAATTGCTCTAAGAATCAGCTATGTTTTAACTTCTTTTAAATTCCAATCTATCTGATTGAGGAAGGATTGTTAAGGGAAACATAAAACTTTCCAGTCACATATAGTATGAAGAAAATGGTATTTATCCAAATGATATGTCAGGATTAGTTTTCTAACCTAAGCACTCAAATGAATCCTCAGTAAATATTGGACTGAACATA